TTTCTCTCTCTTCCTCTCACTTGCTCTTGCACTGACACAAACACACACCAACAGAGGCACTCACACAGTGACATCAGACACACGTATAAACTCAGACCATATAAATGATTGATCACCATAGGCGGTTTCCACTGTATTTGTTATCTCTTTGCTTAGTTTCATCTCCCTACTGAAGAACCACATTATACATTCTCACTTTTATTTGTTTAGGTCCCGATATTTGTGGCCCTGGCACAAAGAAGGTTCATGTTATCTTCAACTACAAAGGCAAGAACCATTTGATCAACAAGGACATCAGATGCAAGGTGAGACATCAGTTAATGACAGTTGTTTCCATATTTAACTGGGAAAAGGCAAAAGCTTTTTCTATTTGTTATTGCATGACAAAATGAGTTGGAGAGTTTTTTATACTGTAAACACATCATCTGCAGGATGATGAGTACAGCCACTTGTACACGTTGATCGTCAACCCTGACAACACCTACGAGGTCAAAATCGACAATAAGAAGGTTGAGTCTGGCAATCTGGAGGACGACTGGGACTTCCTGCCCCCCAAACAAATTAAGGACCCAGAAGCCAAAAAGCCAGAGGACTGGGATGACAGGGAGAAGATTCCCGACCCTGATGATAAGAAACCAGAGGTCAGTCTGTTTGAGCCATTCAAGGATTCTTTTTGTATTTGTATTGTGTTTGTGTAATTGTATGTCTATTTTTTTCTACTTCTAAACTTTAATTTGAATCTTGACAGACAGAATTCACTTCATTTCTATGAAACAAATCCTTATAACAAATGGACCATTTTTTTTTTATGGCTCAGTGGAGTAATCTCTTCTGACATCACATCCTGTCCAAACACTTAACACACCTAACTAGCCTAACCTAGCACTGGGTACAAGTCTTAACCTGATCTTCTACACTTTAACAGTACTTCCCACCTGCCTACTGAAGCTGTAGTATTGTCCTACGGTTGTAAGTTGCTTTGGATAAAACCATTTCATTTTGTAGGACTGGGACAAACCTGAGAACATCCCTGATCCTGATGCTAAGAAGCCTGATGACTGGGACGACGAGATGGACGGAGAATGGGAGCCACCTATGGTCACTAACCCAGATTACAAGGTGAGCAGTAAATAATTAATACACTTACTACACACGTTAGATTTTGTAGGTTACACTACTGTTGCCGGGGGATGTTAGACACATGCTTAACCCGCTCCCAGTCATCGGCTTTATAACATCCTAACAGGAAACCTATCATGTTGTTGCACTGACACAAGCAAAACCTTGTGCATGTGTAGTAGATGAATGACTATATTTACTTTGGGCCATTTTATTTGAAATTCTCTGTGTAGTTGTGTATGTTCTATATGGTGCCTTCAAAGATTCACTAAAAATAACCTGTGTTGCGATGTGAGAAAAATGAGATCCCAGTAGTCTTGATGAGGTGGTAGAATTAGTTTATTCCTTCAGCATGCAGGTAAACAAACAGACTAGCTTGTATCGACTCAAGGTCTTCATCAAGGTCTGACAAACAATTCATCAGTAGGAAGTTGAGACTGTTGATGCTTGTCTGCTGTGGCCTAAAGCAGCACCGATAGAGGGCGCCAAATCATAAGTGTGGGCGCCTCTGTGCCAGAAAATTAAAAATGTGACATATTTTTTTGCATTATTTTATGCAAATATAGCTACTCTTGGAAATGTCCAAGTACTCTTAACAAATTGTGTGGGGGAAGAGTAAGAGATAAATAAATAGAATAAAAATTAATAGATATTTATTAACTCCTATTCTGGCATCAACCTCACATTTAATCAACAGATTCATGCATACAATAAAGGAATAAATATGTAAAAGAGAAGCAAACCAAAAGAGTTAATACCTACCTAGGAAAAATCAATTGTCAATAAAATAACAGGTCCCTCCCTGTCTGTGTGCTGTCCATAGGGAGAGTGGAAGCCCAGAGAAATCAGTAATCCTGCCTACAAGGGCAAGTGGATCCATCCTGAGATTGACAACCCTGAGTACACAGCCGATTCTGAGATCTATAAATATGACAGCATTGGTGTGATTGGCCTGGACTTGTGGCAGGTAAGAGCGCACTGAAGCAGATTCTTTATTTCCTGTTTAATCGTCAGTTTGCTGAAATTAAGAACAACAAACTAGCATATGACTTTTAGTTTAATCTTGTTCACTCTGGAACAGGAAAGTGTTACTTAAATTATTAATGTTTTGTGTTTGTTACTAGTTTGTGCACAACTGTTTTTTTTGTTGTTTTTTTTCATTTGGGGCAAAGAGACTGTTTTTCAGTTTCATATGAAGTAAAATGGAGATGCTATGGATTTATCCAAAACATGTTTAAAAGATGTATCTTAATTTTATTGTCTTACCTGAACTACCTGACAGTAACATATGCTTTTTATTTTATGAAGGTCAAGTCTGGTACGATCTTCGACAACTTCCTGATCACCAATGATCCAAACCTGGCAGAGGAAGTCGGAAATGACACATGGGGAAAAACAAAGGCAAGTCAGAAATCATACATCTTTACTGTAGCCACATGTGCTGCCCATATAGCTTTAGTTTGTATGTGTGTACAAACTGTTTAAGTTCAGCGCTCTGTGGTTAATAATAAGTTAAGGAAGTTAAGGAATTATTTATTAAAAATGTTTAATTTGCTTTTTCCATCTACTCCAGGATGCAGAGAAGAAGATGAAGGAAAGCCAAGAGGAGGAGGAGAGAAAGAAACGGGAGGAAGACGACATGAAGAAGACAGAAGAGGCAAAGGACGAGGAGGAGGAGGAAGAAGAGAAAGATGAGGATGAAGAGGAGGAGGAGGAAGAAGAGGAGGAGGGGGAAGAGCAGGAGGAAGAGGAGGAGGAAGATGATGGCACAGACTCTAAACTCAAGGATGAGTTATAAACTGCTGAGAAAAGAACCTGACTGTGTGAGTCAGGAAGCCAATGGGAACACGGCTGGTGACTGAGATGATTGACCCTCATGGCTGACACCGTGGGGTGGGGTGGGTTGGGATGGGATGGGGTTTCTCAATTATTTGTTTACAAAGCAAGGGAATGTGTGAAAATGACGGTTCTGTTCCCTGTTTCCTTGTGCTACTGCTATTATTATTGTTATTAAATGAGGAATAGTAATAGAAAAGAATGAAGACGTCTGTCAGGACCTGGAATTTGTTTCACAGCAGAATCATGTAAATTGTCATTTCTGTTTTTGCAAAAATCTGGGTTTTAATGAAGTTTAATGTTGTTGTGACATGAAAAGCTATATTTGGTATGTGGATGGTACCATGTACATGTTTTGTTTACCTCATGTGTTTTGTCTCATTAACCTGTGTCATTTGTTTTTTGTTAATCTTTTGTCGTCAGGCCTGTTCGTCTGCCTCCTCCTTAATGTAGATCTCACAGAGTTAGACGTCATGGTGCCGGTTATTCAGTCTGTGCTTATTTAAACCTTAATGATTCAAACAAAGCTTCATGGCATGAGGACGAGGAAGAGTGCGTAAGACCTAACACCAGATGTTTGACAACTCTTCCAAAAAAAACTTGTTCATAGGAGGATAACATGGGGTGCTTCAAGATAAAATCCCTCACATTGTTTTGTACTGTGAAGTTAATACTTTTCTCACTTCAGTGCACATACTGTGGTCATGTGTGTCTCAATCAACTTTTCTCAAACTCTGATGTACATTAAGAGCATTTCAGTAGCATCAAAGCTTCCGCTCATTTGGTACACACTCTCTTTAGGTTTACTTATTGTTGCACACAACCTGTTCCTCACTTCTGATGTCACTTTCTCTGCACTGCTGTTCCCCAACACACACACACACACACACACTGTCTCAAACAGAAAAATGATCCTTTTTTAAAAGATGCATTTTGTACTAATGGTAGTAACTGAAGTGGGAAGATTTTCATGTTGCTGTGTAAAAAACAAAAATGATAGGAAGGTGAACTGTCCAATAAAAACAACTGGAAGAAAATGAGCAGATATACTTCTCAGTTTCATGTGTTTTAATTGATTATTATTACAATTATATTCTTTATCTTATATATGAGTCGTAGTTGATTTTGAGGGCCACATTGTTTTGGTGGCATTTGTCTGTATCATATACTTATACTGTATTTTAATTTAATATGTTTTACTTGTACTCTGCCACCTTTTAGGACGAGCGTACTTTTTATTCCACTACATTATTCTGACCGCTGAAGTCACCAGTTACAAAACATGATCTGCTGATTTTTCATTTATTGAAATATATGTGCACACAAAATATACATTTATAGATGTATATACATTTAAATACATGGATAGATAGATCAATACTTTGCATACATATAAAAAATCAGTCAGAAGAAAAGTAAAGCAACAAAAACAACAACAGACACTCCCCACCCACCCAGGGCTCTGACTCTTATGGAAATTTACTGTAAAAGTTTTTTGAGGTTTAGTGAGAGTGAGTACCAAACCTCTGTCACTGGTTCCTTTGCCGCACGGACTTTAGCAGACGTCAGCATCCAAGCACGAAAAGTGAAGGAGCCGGGAGGCATTGCAGTTAAAATAATACTCCTAATAATAATGGTAATAACTTTATTTATAGAGCACTTTCCAATACAAAGTACACAGTGCTGCACAGCAAGAAAACAAATGGTTAAAATACAGACGGGAGTACATAGATAATAATGGTAATAGAGATAAATTAACAATAACCTGGCACCTGAAGTGAATTCAGAGATACACTGGATACTGGAAAAAGTACATTTATATAAGACTTAAAAACATTATTTATTTATTTACCAGTGACATTGGAGTCATTTGTTTTTTTCTAATACATATATGAGGGTCTGGGGGGGTTAAATATAAATATAGTTATGGTTGGAATTTATTTTATAGTCCACTATTTTTAGGCTCTTCGTGTGTCTTCTTTCTGATTAGATTATATTACATAGAGAAGGCTGAGGTGTAAAAGCAACAGTATGTTGGTGAGGTGGATCCACTTTGACTCCTCTCCCTGACTCCTGGCTCCTGACTCCTGGGTCTGAGTTCGGGCCTGATGCCGGAGGTGCGGGTCCAGTTCCGTGTTTTGCAGCGGCCTCTCTCTGTGTGAGTCTGGCAGCGGCGCAGGGTGAAAGCGGTGGGAAACAGAAACACTATGGCTGCCTCTCTGTCTCTTACTCAGGTAACACTGTCTCACAACTCAAACATAACGACCGCAAACATTCTCCGAGCCGCGTCTGCTCTGCCCGGGGACATTCCGGCGGTGTTAGCGGAACCGGGCCGGGCGGATAATCCGGGCTCACCCCGACCCCGGTGCCTCTTTTTCGGGTTTCGTGTGGTCCTGCTGTGACTGGGAAAAGTTTCTGCCTAATCTCTTCGGGGACTGCGTAAGGGCGTAGCTAGTTAGCTAGCATGCTAGCCAGCAGCTAGTTAGTGCAGTGCTGGGCTGTTTTCGAGCCGCTCTGTCAGACTCGATTTAAACATTTCAGCCTCACTTCGCTTCCTCCTCGTTTCTCACAGTGAATAGCTTCGCTGTGTGCTTCCTCGTTTGGCTGCGGGCTAATTGTTCTTGTGTTGAGAGGAACCCATGTGTGGCTCTGCTGTGGCTCTGTTGTCATGTTTCTGCCCTGCTAATGTTGTTTTCCGCTAAAAACAGTGAAGCAAGTTCCACATATTGACGCCGTGGCCTCCGGTGTGAATGTCCTCATCTTGCTGTGTGTTTACACTGAGTAGCCAAAGCTGAACAGGCTCCGCGACTGGGTCAGTGTTTTGCCTGTGACCTTTGAGAAGTGAACGTTAACTGTTAGCATGTTAGCTGCTGTGGGAGTTTGGTTGACGTGATATTAAGGGAATCAAGAAAATGACAAATGGTGTTGACAGTTGTTTTGCAACCAGTTTGAGGAAGTGAGCTTGGGCAGCTATTAGCGGCATCCACTGTCACTAAATGTCCTGTCTGCTGCTACATAGAGAAGCACAGACAATGTGGGGATGTGTTTGTTTTGCAGAGTAAATCGGTCAGCAACACATCTAATAAGTAGGTAACAGTGTCTGACTTGTTACCTGAGCCACTGCATCCTCCAAACAACAGACAGGAGCTGTGTGCCACCAGCAGCTCTGACAGCTTTGCCTCTCTAACATGAGTTTGAAAAGCTGCTGACACCAATGAATTACTTTGACAACAATGAATTACTTTGACAACAATGCTTGTTTTAGTTGCTGTCAGTTTTTCCACTCGATCATTCTCACACTGACCCACTGGTTGGTCGTGGCAGTGACATAAATAATTAACAGTTAAATGTGGGTGTTTTTAAGCTGCAAACTTAATTATATGACGAATACATGATAAAAACACGTGACTGCTGATTTTAATCTCGAGTTTACTTCACAGTTTGGTAATGGCTCATCACCCCGCCTAGTGTCTCACACCCTCTTGGACCTTGCAGGGCCAGTGCTTAAATTAAGCAGTCAACTGTTTGCGAGGTTTCTATATTATGACATTTAAGTTGCTTTCAGACCAGCACTGAACTCCAGATCATCTCCTGACTTTATCTGGAGGGGCTGTTTGTGAGAACGCACATGTCCTAGAGTTAGAGGCTCTCTCAGGAGTTCTAATGCCAACCATCCAGTAAAAACTCTGAGGGAGCAGACGTTTCTAATACACAAATGCGGAACTGAAAAAACTAAAATGATTAAAATGTGTCAGGATGAAGAAGTGCAGCCAAATGATAGACAAAGATAGAGATCTGGACATTTCTGTGTTGTTGTAAATGCCTCTGAGCGGAGAATCTCCTGCTGCATGTGTGAAAAGGGGATCTGTGGAAAAAGTCCAGTTCCCATCCAGCAAATTCTCTCCAAAAGTGTGATTACTTGATGCAGAATGGTCCATGTGTTTTCATTGTCATGGCTGCATTAGGTGGTGACGTATCCAGAGCAAACTAGACTGACCTGACGACTCCTGCTCTGTAATGTATGTCCCTATGTGCTGCAGTTTTATATGGCTATAGCAAGGGAATGGTTGATGGGTGTTATTGTTTTCCAGTGCTCAATTAAAGGGTCACCAGTACAATGACCACAGTGTTACAGCTTCCAACAGTTCCAGGCACACTATTGTGTCTCACAGAGAAAAAAAAGTTGCAGTGGTCAGAGAGAGATAAGTGTCTGCTAGTGCTAACAGTCATCTCACTGTAAATTGGCAGTTGACGGAGCTGACAAATAACGAAGCAGCTCGCAGGCTGTATTTGTCTTGTTCTTCGTAGTCTGTAATGACAGACATCCACAACCAGATCTTTACACTCTTCTTGCTTTTTTATTTTACAGTTGACAGTCTATTTGCATGTCTCTGGAGGTTCAGGTTTTACCCACTGGTAAAAGGCCACTCCCAGTTGATTCACTGTGTCAACTCCTTTCTTCCTTCCCTGCAACTGATGATTTAAAAGCACAACAATCAGTTGTCAGTTTCAACTGTCCGAAAAAGGAAATGCTGAGTCTTTTCCTGTTGAGCCAAGCAGTAGACAGTTGTATTAACGCAGGAAAGGGGGGGTGTTGAGGAAGGATATGACATATACATTAGTGCGAGGTTGAGCCCTTACAGCATTATAGAGAGAAACCGTTACCACAGAGGGAGAAAATCTCCCTTTTAACATGACGAAATCCCAAGCAAAATCAGGCGAGAGAAGGGGGAGAAACAGTTGTTTATTCAATCACTTTCAGACAGGTCTTTATAAAGTCTTGTGATTGATGGTGTAAAATGCAGCGCTAAGATCTAGCAGGACGAGTAAAGAGACAAGTCTATTTCCTGAGGACATCAGTAGATAGATAAGATGGTTAGTAACGTTCATCGGTGCTGAGTCCGTGCAATGATATTCTCTTAATCCTGACTGGAAATCTTAAAATCATTCTATGGTTTAATTCATTATGCAAATAATTATATCATTTTTTTGCTATAGCCTTTTTCAGGATTTCAGAAACGGGAGGATGGATATAGGTCAATAGTTGGCTAGAACATCTGGGTCATGAGTAGAATTTTTTTAAGCAGAGGGTTAATTACTGCAACCTTAAAACCCTGTGGGAAATAGCCTGTTACTAAAGATAAATTGATTAGCTCTAATATGGAAGTGTTAATTAAAGCTGAAAAAGCCATGTTGGAATAGGGTTGAAAAGACAAGTTGGTGGTTTAGATGAAGAAACTGTAGAAGAGATCTAGAAGAGAAGCAATGTAAATATAATGCAAACAACATAGGGGAAGTAAATAATGAATTGGTTTTCTGATGGTTAATCTTTCTGTTTGATTTAATTTGTAAAGATAAAGAAGCTTATAAAGTCATTTGTCTGAGAGTTACAGAAACAGTTGGCCCAGTAGAGCTCTGTGGCACCAAGGGTTGTTCTTATTTTCTACTGCTAAAAATGAGTAATAAGAGGTTCTGGCATCATTCAGGGCTTTCTCGTATACTATTAGACTGTCTCTCCCCGCTAGTTCTTCCAAACTGGTGGAACACCACTTCCTTCCCAACTTTTGCAACATCTGCTTAAAAACCTACATTTGTCAAAGTCCAAAGTAGCTGTTGCCTGTGATTATCAGTATCATCTGTAGCCTTGGAAAATGTAGCCTATATAATGTCCAGATGCCGGCTGACAAGTCATCAGCAGAAACCTGACTCAGACCAGTCATCAGTATTGAGTTACTACTCCAGGAAATATGTTTTGCAAGGAAGCACAGAAGAGCAATGTCTTTGATCGAGTCATCGGTGTATTTATCTACCTAGTGCTAGACCAGTTGATTTGTCGATTTCCACAACATTTTAAATTGTTCATAAATTATCTTTATCAAGCCTGAATAAAAGTTCATGTATATTCTGGTTCTACCTTCATAAACATATTTAGCTTTTACTGCTTTCTCTTTTCTATCATTGTTCATGGGTATAGCTCTGCGGAATTGTGCTTTATGCTGATCAACACAGCCCTAATCTCACATTGCTTTTCATACCTGTACTGTAGGCCAGGCTTCATAAGATGTTTGGGAAAAACTTAGACACTGTGTTTCTTTAAAGGTAAAACAGGTCTTTTGAGAGCTTTTTTGCCACAGTGAGCTGAATCAAGTGTTGCATTTGTTCCACATGTCTGAGCAGTTCTCAGTCGCTGTGTTGATGTCCGACCAACAGACATTTGGAGAATTCAGCTGTTTTAGTGTCTGAACTCTTTGCATGTGTTGTTAAAATGATTCAGAATTCTAGCATATTGGTTATAATCTTTGTGTTTGCCTGTTTTTGACAGCTGCCTTGGCTCAGTGGATGACACTCTCTGAAGCCCGAGAGATTATTTCTCTTTCTGAGAAAAGCCTTTTAATTTTTAATTTATCCTGTCACAGGTTATTTAAGTATAAGATTAGGGAGTTTATTAATTTCATGCACAAACCTTAGAAAGCAGCATCAACTGTGGTTGCAGTTTTACAAAGTTAAATGTGTATAAATTTGTTTAAAATCATTTCAATCCAAGTGCTTTTGACATGGATTTCTTCTCTTCCTCAACAGCTCTCAAGTGGAAATCCCATCTATGACAAATACTATCGACAGGTATGGAAAAATATCTCTCCCCAAATTGAAAATAATTGTTTGTTTAGCTGAGACCATTAAAAGATTTTATAAAACAGTTGTAGTTTTCAAGTGGGCCTGTTTTTGTTGTGTGAGTTTGCCATTTCAGTTCAAGATGATTGGATTATTTAAAGTACAGTGTGTACAGTGTGTAGAATTTAATGATAGCAAATGTTGAATTTGCATGTTGCAGCTGAACACCCTTCACCTCACCCTCCCCTTCCAAACATGAAAAAGAAAATTTAAATATAAAGGGCCTTTTCTGGGGTAAAGAAAACTACAATTCATTCAATTTAGATGAAACGAACTAGTGAGAACATCATGAGGATTATTCTACATTAAATTTCTGCCAACAGTTCCCTTTCACCTAAATCTTACACACTGGACCTTTAACTCTCACCATATTGTGCTTATTGGACTGGCTTTCCCTTTTCCCTTTCCTGATTCCAATACCTGGACTTTGTGTATTGACTGATTCCCAGTACTAATCTGTTACCAGTGCATTAAAAAAAAATGCAGTTTTATCTGAGTGAAGCTAATAGACCCTAGAGGCATGGTATCGGACCGGTACATAGATTTGCATTTTCACTGATGACTGACCAAGCATTTTCTGAGCCATTTCTGATGCTGGTATTGAAACATCTCCACTTTTAACTATAACACCAACATTAACTAAATGTAGTATTGCTGTGTAGAGTGAGCCCTCTTCTCTACTATCAGTTCAAGGCTCTGTGTCCAGTAAAGGAAGTACCTCTATGAATTAATAATGCTTCACTTTGCCCGATATGTCAGTGGAGCTCACAGTGAGCCTCATGAAAGGGTACTAACACATCCATTACCAACCCAATAGACTGCTGGAGAAATGGCTTTGGTTTATTATCAGTATTGATTCAAGTGACTGCACAGCCTCTCTCTTACTTTACATCGCTCACCAATACAAACACTTCTTTCGTCAGTCAGTGCAATGATGTGCAACCTTTGACCCGTTAGGAAAGCTGTCTACGTTGGCAGCACAGCTGACTCACTGATGTTCTGAGATGGACCTCTTGACTCTGTGTTCGTGTGTGTGTTTATATTTTTGGTTTGTGCGTTAACGTCTGTGATTGTGTCAAGGTTGATCCAACTGGCAGTGGGCGGGTGACGGCAGCCGATGCAGCTCTGTTCCTGAAGAGGTCTGGCTTAGCTGACCTGGTCCTGGGGAAGGTGAAAGTCTTACATTATCGAGAGAGGAAACATTTCTCTCTGTTGTCTCTGACATTGATTTATATTTTGATGGTCAATTTGTACAATATGTGTGTCTCCACAGATTTGGGATTTGGCTGACTCTGAACGTAAAGGCTTTCTTAGCAAACAGGTAAGGAGTGCCCTGTGGAAAAATAACATGATGGATTAGCTTTTCTATACACATGCAGTGTATGTGATCACCAGTTTCACGTCATACACTGTACTTGTTTTTCCCTCAGCAATTCTTCATAGCGTTGCGGTTGGTAGCCTGTGCTCAAAATGGCCTGGAGGTGGCACTCAAGAGCCTTAATGTGGCTGTTCCTCCCCCCAAATTTGTAAGTTCTCTGTCCATTCTGTTTATGCTGCTTCTGTTCATTCGAAGTTACCTTTAAATAGAGATATGTAGATATGACACCCTACAGAAGTGTTTACATTAAGTTCTGTTTTTGTGTTTATCTTAATCTTGCTGTCGTAGTGCTTCAACATAACATTGTTCATTGTTTACTGCAAACTAAGGTTAACTGAGGTTTGTTGATCAACAGCACGACACTAGCAGCCCACAGTTAGCAGGAGGAGCACCTGGCGACACACCCTGGGTTGTAAAGGTAAAGCACAAACAAGTTTTTGATATTTTTGTCTTCGGCTGCTTTCAGAGCTGCACTGAACTCTGGTATTTCCTTAAAAATGTAACGGAGCGGCTGTATGAAAGAACGCAAATGTCTGAGACAGAGCCAGCCCCCTAGATGTCAAGAAAATGTCTGAGTGAGATGACATTTCTAACATGCGATGGACGCAAAACTGAAAAAACCAAACCAGACAAAACTTATACAAATATCTGAGGATCAGAAAGAGGTGCCATACACGTAGAAGACGCAGAAGAAGATTCAAGAGCTTTTGGTGATGAAGACCATCGCTTGTGTTGAGCATAAACAAAAACACATGCAGTAGAATTTATTCACTGTTTGGCGCCAGCCCTCACCTGAATGTTCTTGACATTTTCCTGTGGTCGTGAATGCATCTTAACCGGACAATCTTCTGCTGCGTTATTCATATGAGAAACGCAAAGTCTAGAAAATGTATGGTTGAAAAGTTCCGAACCTTTTCCCAAGTTCATGTCTTATTGTGCACATCAGGAATCTATGTTGCCTTGATGTATTTTTCTTTCTTCTAAGAGACGACCACAATGAGTGAATACAGTGTAATTAGCACATCGGGGGTCTTTAAAGTTTTGGTCATGTAAAATGTCAAACAAATGAAGTCAGCTCAGATATGACCCAGATGTTAACAGCCATTCAGTGTCTGTACTGTTGGTTCATACAAAGTTACCAGAAAAGCTGGTAAGATTTTTAAGGTTAGAGTGCTATTTGAGAAACATGCACACAAGCATGCACACGCACGCACACACTGTAAATGAGGCAAAATTATTTATTTTCACAGCTGACTGGCCTAAATTTCCCTCCTGTTTGTTGGCTTAGTGGATACATCTTTGTTCTTCTTCTTATTCCTCAGCCTCCAATCTTTCTACATCTGTTGTGTTTGTTTGTTTTTCTTTCCAGCCTGAAGAGAAGATGAAGTTTGATTCCATCTTTGAGAGTCTAGGTCCAGTAGGTGGCATCCTAACAGGAGACAAGGTTAAGCCTGTCTTGCTTAACTCCAAACTACCAGTGGACATCCTTGGCAGGGTATGATCATTTAACAGGACTATTTTATAATCATATAATAACATGTTTGATTTATTCTAAAAGTAGCAAAACTTAATAGGGAAATCCCGAATTAAATCAGAAAGCAAAAAATCATAGACAGACTGTTACTTTAAAGTTTGAAATGCTATGTTGAAATATAGCGTTGTTATGATTCATTCGTAAATATAATGTGTCTCTGTGTTGAAGGTGTGGGAGCTCAGTGACCTCGACAGAGATGGCATGTTGGACAAAGATGAATTTTCTGTGGTAAGATATGAGCTCCTAAGTTAAACTTAAAGTTTCTTCACCCATTTTTCTTTTTTTGTGTATATATGTTTGCTTAAATTGTAAGTACAATCTGGGAAGCTCATTAAGGCTTTGAAAACTGCTTCCCTAGATATAGATGCAACAAATTCAAGACATGTGGATGAAGTATAAAGATTGAGAAAGACTTGTTTATTGGTAATTGACTTTTATGACTGCATTTTGTTGCCCTATCCCAGGCCATGTATTTGGTGTACAGAGCGTTGGAGGGGGAGCATGTTCCAATGTCCCTACCACCTCCCCTGGTTCCACCCTCCAAAAGGAAAAAACCCTCGGTGCCTCCTGTGATGCCCCTGTTACCCTCGCCCCCCTCTGCCAAAGACAGTCGCTCCGCCCATGCTGGCTCTAAGACCATTCCCCACCCCCCTAAACCCGCCCCAGCTCCTGTCCCAGCACCAGCAGCTGCTTCTGTGAGTACAGGACCCATCTCTCCTGTGCATCATTACCCGAAAAAACATTTTTGATGTTTTATTTCACTGCCACTTAGCTGTGACAGCAATCATTTGAAATGATTTCAAACTGGCTAGTTCAGTGTGTTTCTCAAAAGAACAAGGTGAGAGAGGGTTTAAAGGTAAGTGAAATTTTAGTTTGAGTTAATATGTCACTGTCATCGGTTGTGTTTAATCCTACCTGTAGTTATGAAGTAAAGACAGTGGTAGTTAAGTCTGTGGTGTCAACTTTGCAGTGGGTGGTGTCACCAGCGGACAAAGCCAAATACGATGACCTCTTCAACAAGACAGACGGTGACATGGACGGGCTCGTGTCTGGACCTGAGGTCAGAGATATCTTTCTGAAGACTGGGCTGCCGTCTGCGACACTTGCACGTATCTGGTAAGCAATATATTAAAGCTCCCTTTACTGCCATCTATGAGATACTGATGACACCCTGCAGCTTCTTTGGTTTATTTACTTGAAGCATTATTTATTATATTTGTGTTTTCAGAGTAGAAGGAAATAACAGTTTAACTGTAAATGATGGAGAAACATTGACAAATTTGCTGGCATTAGGCTTTAAATCACATGCTGTTTTAAATGTGTAGAATAAGAAACATGGCAAAGAAAAATGACTGAGTTGAAAATGAACAATGTTGATAAAACATTTAAAGGTACAGTGTGTAGAATTTAGTGATATTGAGTGTTGAAGTTCCATGTTGCAGCTGAATACCCCTCACCTCACCCTCCCCTTCCAAACATGAAAATGAACCTGTGGTAGCCTTTAATTGTCATAAAATTCAAAAGATGCTTAGTTTGTCCGGTATGGACTAATGTAAAAAACATGGCGGCCTCCGTAGAGAGGACCCCCTCAATGTAAATATAAAGTATTTAATTAAAAAGCTCTAGCAGCAAAGTGCACAGTATCAAAAGTAAAAAATAACAACAATTCGTACAATTTAGATGAAACAGACTAATGAAAACATCACTA